TCACCACCCTCCTCCCCCCGGCCGCCGGGGGGAGAGCAGAGCCCCCACCGGGGCTCGCCGCCCTCCTCACCACCCTCCTCCCCCCGGCCGCCGGGGGGAGAGCAGAGCCCCCACCGGGGCTCGCCGCCCTCCCCCCCAGCGCCCTCCCCCCGGCCGCCGGGGGGAGAGCGGAGCCCCCACCGAGGCTCGCCGCCCTCCCCCCGGGGCTCCGGCCGCCCCGATGGTAAATTCCTTAGATTTATAAATTCCTTTTGAGATAATTACAACATCCCTGCAATGTTGTTTATCCTCAATTACTGACGTGTGCGCTCAACTGAATGCCATTTTAATGTAGTTTTTGACCAAGAATCTATACTTGAGGTTCTTCCTGACGTGTCCAACTTCCTTGCAGAGGATGAAGTTGAGACCAGTTTCCTGCCTACGCTAATTGATTTTTCATTCATGTTTCTTTCCCTGCTGTGTACCAGGGCAACATTTTAGTTACGTGATTGACAGGCCCAAGGGTGCTAGGTGCTGTACAAAGGGCTGCCCCAATTAGAGTGTATTCTGGTGGCAAGCCATGGCACATTCAGCGGGCCTACCTCATTTCCTACTCTCAGGTAACCCAAGGACCCTTGGAGAGGCCCTCTTGCCCCAACAGTACCCCTTCCTCGGGAAAACTTTGTTCAAATAGTCCAAAACCTAAATCCCAACACACAGTCCATTTATCACAGCAGTGCAAGCAGTCATTGAAATCCTAGGATTTCTCATCCCTTGATGCCCTACATACCACATGTCTGCCACACCTGGACTCTGTCAGTCCTCCTCTATCCAGACAGTCACCCCAGCCCTTCCAGCTGGAGTGCAACCCCCACTTCTTCCCCCCACTCCCCAACTCTCTGCTGACAGATCATCTTTACTAGGGGAGCGTGAAGTCCCTCACTCCCCGAGTCCTCTCCCATTTCTCCTGAGTCCAGCTCTCCAATGTGAAGACATCAGTGAGTCCCTCTACTGCTCCCCTGTTTTCAGCTCTGGGCTTTGAAGAAGCAGGCACTTCCCCCTGCTGCTTTTCTGCCTTCAGTCCTCTCCAACCTTGCTTGCTGATCCCCTACCTTCAGCCTCCCCCCAGGAACAAATGCTCCAAAGCACCCCTCCCTCCCCATGTCTGTCTCCCTCAGAGTCTCCCTGGTCCTGTATCAGAGTAGCAGCCGTGTTAGTCTGTATCCGCAAAAAGAAGAACAGGAGGACTTGTGGCACCTTAGAGACTAACAAATTTATTAGAGCATAAGCTTTCGTGGGCTAAAACCCACTTCTTTGGATGCATAGGTCCTGTATAATCCCAGGTGCAGCCCTGGGTTTTCAATTGGCCAGATGGGAGCACCTGCTCTGAACGTACTTCGTTCCCTGGGACCTGACATCCTGTGACACACCAAATGCATGACTGGGGCTTCTAGGTGTTACCCCAATACAAATGAAGAATAAATAAGCAGCCTGCACTACACTGACTGAGATTACGGAGAACCACAGGTTAAGATCACCGGCGCTTACCAAGATGTAGAGGACGAAAATGCACGTTCCCAGGTCTGCTTTTAGGATTTGTAGATCCTGCTGTTGGTGGTGTTCAAGCAGAGCTGGCTGAAAGTCTGTCGTTATTTTTAAACGGAAAAGGGGCTTTTCCGATTAAAAAAATTTTTTCGCCATGTGCTGAATTTCACAAACAGTTTTGGGGATTTATCATAATAGCAAGACCCAAATGCCTCCGTTTCTGAGAATCAAGAGACAATAATTCCTTGGGTTTAAGCAACAGAAGTTTTTGGATGAAACCCGCCCCAACGAATTGAAGAAATTGGGCAACATTCCCCCTGGCCCATTTGCTAACATTTTTCACGAGGTGAGGGGGAAAAAGTTTCCATTGAAGTGCTGGTGAGAGGGAGCCTGGTATCATGTTCAGCATCAGACAGGGACTAGACCAGTGATATTCAGACCTCAGCGATTCAGGAACCAAATTAGCCATCAACCTTACCCAAAAGAGCCACAGTCGTGTAAATCCATTGTTTCACTTACTAGTCAGATTTAAACAGTATGTCGGGGGAAAGATTGAATTACTCTCCCAGCAAGTATGTTAATATCAGGGCTGCCACACAGGCTGGACAGGAGGCGAGGTGTACAGAGAGAGAGAGAGATGGAAACTACGCCCGGGTGCCCCACCGAGCCACTCCCCTCCCGCAGCAACACCTGCATCATCTGCTCCAGGGAGATCGCCGGCTGGGAACTGGACTCTTGTACCGGTCTCAGTGCCCGGGCACACGCCTGCTGCTGCAGCCGCTGTTCCAGCCGGGCACAGGCAGGGTGAGTGTGATGCGCTGCCCTTTCTCTGCCCCCGGAGTGGGGGGGGCTGCTCACCTTGCCGTGGGGCTGGCGCTAAGGCAGGGGAGCAATGGCTGTGGGGGCTCCACAGGGCTCTCCCCCAGTCCCAGCTGATGTGCCTGTGTGATCCCGCCGGGGCGGGGGGGAGAGAGCTGGCCTGCCACCCTGCAGCAGGCACGTGGTGTCCTCCCACTGTGGGGCTGCTTTAATTCACCCTCACACAGCTGGGAATCCATTTTGCACCACGGCGTGGTGGCATAGGACCTAATCACATCAGCCACACCGTAAGGGGCTCTTTCACCTGCACAGCTACTAATGTGGTATATGCCATCGTGTGCCAGCAATGCCCCTCTGCCATGTACCTTGGCCAAACCGGACAGTCCCTACGCAAAATGGACACAAATCAGACATCAGGAATGGTAACATACAAAAACCAGTGGGGGAACACTTCAACCTCCCTGGACACTCAGTCACAGACTGGAAAGTTGCCACACTTGGCCTGAATAAAGCCTGGGAATGGCTGGCTCACTACAAAAGGTTCGCTCTCTATTTTGGTATTCACAACTTCTCATCAAGGGTTACTAAAGGGCCACATCCCCCCTGATTGTATTGACCTCGTTATCACTGGGCCTCTGCCTAGTAATGCTTCACACCCATCTCTGTCAGTGTGTATTTCTTCACCTGCCAAACTGCAGCTTGCACGGCTGCATCCGCGGAAGTGGGCTGGAGCCCACCAAAGTTTGTGCGCCAATACATTTGTTAGTCTCTAAGGTGCCACAAGACCCCTCGTTGTTTTTGCTGAAACACTCACACAGCTACCCCTCTGAAACATGGTGCAATGTCCACTATGGCGAGAGGAAGTGAGGCCAGCACCAGCTTCACTGAGTCGGTAATACGGGGGTCCCCCTATTATAGACGGATTTAACCCCCTTTTCCCCCAAACACTCTTACACTGAGCTTCCCGGGAGCAAGATCCCTGCTCACCCCCCACCCCTGAAACGGCTGCTCCCCTGGGAACCCTGGTTAATAGCTCAGGGCAAGATCACTTCATCCGTTACTAACATAGTAAAAGCCTGCTGATGGGTTCAATTAAATCACCCTGTTTTAATATCAAGTGCTGCCAAGAGCCCCTTGGAGGCTGTCCAGAGACCCACTGAAGTGTCCCGTTCAGCCCCGGGGAAATCCCTTGTAAGAGGCGTGCGGAGCCGGGGCTGCTCCGGGCAGCCTCGGGACCCAACCTGGGCGCGACCCACTAAGGGCCCCGCGGCTCTCGCTCCGCAGGGACCGCGCCCGCGGTGTGTGCGGGACGGGGGCAGGCAGGGGGAGCCCAGCCCAGCCGCCTGCGGTCCCATCGGAGGGGACCGGATCACCCGGCGCCCCCGGTGCAGGGCGCTGTACAAAGCAATGTAGGGGCGGCCTCGGTCCCGCTGCACCCCACGGTCACACCCCGCTCCCCAGCATCACCCAAAGCGCACAACAGCCCCCCAGCCCCCGTCTGCAATAGCCCCCCTGTCCCGGAGCCCCCGATCCGGGCTCAACCCGCAGCCCCTCCGCCGCAGGGGAAAGGGGCACGGAGCCCTCGCCCCCCCGCAAGGGGACACGGGGCTCAGCCGCGACCCCCTGGAAAAGACGGGATCCGCCACTCACCCATCAACCAGGCGCCAGCAACCCAGTCTGAGCACACGCCGGCCGGAGCAGCCTCAGCTGATTAACTTCCGCGACCGCCCCCGCATGTAAATCGACGCGGTGATGTGTAAACCCCGCTCCCGCTCTGCCACTGGGGCAGCGGTTTGCAAACCCCCCCGGCAGAGCAGCGAGCCATTGTCCGAAACATTCCCTCCCCAGAGCGCCAAACCAAATGCCGATCTTTGCTCGACACAGTGGCAGGCAAGAGCAAATAGTTCTTTTCGCACCCCCAGAGTATTTCATCTGCGAGGAGACTCGCTCCCCGAGCCTCAGCTAGACACCGGCTCACAGATGATGCCAGATTAGTTTCCTCAATGTAGCACCCAGAAGCCGCAGCTCAGATTCCCGCCTCAAACCAAACCCATAGGTGACTGTGTCCACAAAGATTACAATTGAATAGGCAAGACTGGCAAAGGGCACAGCAGGAAACCTTTATCCCATCCAGCAAAAGAGACCAAAATGTGCATCCTGTTTTTCAGATGAATTCTTCTTAGCACCTGACGCTGTGAGCACCTGCTCCACTTTACTCACTTCCATCTTCCTGTTACAGTGTGAAAGCTTAAACCATACACAAGTCTGCAAGATCAGGGCCATAGTATTTAAGACTAACAAATTTATTTGGGCCTAAGCTTTCGTGGGCTAAAACCCACTTCATCAGCATCTGACAAAGTGGGTTCCAGCCCACGAAAGTTTAGGCCCAAATACATTTGTTAGTTAATTACAACGTGATAGAGCAACAGAGGGTCCCGTGGCACCTTTGAGACTAACAGAAGTACTGGGAGCATAAGCTTTCGTGGGTAAGAACCTCACTTCTTCAACGTGATAGAGAACACTTACAAAGCCAGCAAAACATTTTCACACACAATTAGTCAGAACTCGAATCAAGATTTCCTCAATAAAGCCTAACAGAACCGCACACCCAGACAGAAAACACCCATATCCAGGGAATACACCACTGCATAGGCTGGAACAATTATAAATCACTTATAATCATCATGACATTTTGGGAAAATTCAGGAGAGAACGTTAGTCAGCTACAGTTTCAGATCACACTCCCACCTGCTTGTGGATAGAGATCCCAACAGTCAGCAAATCTCCCGTGGAACAGCCAGTCCCTCTACACCCATTAGACACCTTTCTGTTTAATACACCCTCCGGATCATAACTTCTCAGATTTTGCCCCTCTGCTCTGGGAAACATACAAAACTCTGAGCATCTGGGAACAGGGGTTAGAATAGAAACTATTGCCTACCTTTAACTATAGCAGTGGTTCTCACTAGCTCCCCTGAAACTCTAGGAGAAGGGAACTCACTTGCCTGATTATTTTTCACTCGGCCAACCAAAAATCTCATCTCTCAGCTGAGCCTGAGGAGAGAGAAAAAGATCCTCTAAAGAAGCAAAGGGGTAGAGAACTGAGACGTGAATGAAGATTTCAGTTTATTTGAGGGCAAGGAGAGCAACTGAATAACAATTCTCTGACTGACAATGTTCAGTGAGAGTCTGTCCACATGTCTGGGAGCTTTCCTGAAAAGAAAGTACCAGTAAATTAATCAAGATAACACTTAGGCTCTAGCCCTGATTTCAGCCATCGGTGCAAACCCTACAGGTAGGGAAGGAAAACTATGATTGCCAGTGGGGCATTTTACCTGCTGCATGAAAACGAGATCAGAAGCAGAAACAATCCCTGTTATTGCAGGCTTGGCACCTTCCTGCAGTTCTGCCCACGCACCTCAGTTCCTGACCCCCAACTTTCAGCTATTCCAGTCCTGAGAGGCGATGCCCCTCAATCCAGAAATGCTGTCCTCTCTGCTATTCCAGCTTCCAGCCCTGGGTTCACCACACACACAGAGCTCTGCTGGTGTCCCTCAACCCCGGTCCCCAACCCACAGGCCCCTGCTAGCCTGACCCTGGGCTCTTCCCTCTCACATCCTAAGTCCATGGCCTCACTCTACAGCTCCACCTTCTAAAACTGAAGTGAAGGGGTCATCCTGCATTCATGCTACAAAAAGTGGTTAGCTAAGCCTGACCTAACTTTCACCTTTTCCCTAGTCAAGACAACACCTCAGAGACTAGAGTTTGGTTCTCAAACTTTTTTTTCCACGGACCACTTGAAAATTATTGAGGGTCTCGGCAGACCACTTAATGATCTTTCCAAATGTCGTTTGTACCGTTAGCTAACTATTGTAAAGCACTTTGGATAGAAGCGCTACATAAAAAAACTTGAATAATAACTATCCCTCTTGCATGCATATTATCTGCCTGCATAGCACAGCTTTAAGATGCTAAACAAATCTATGAGTCAACTAGAAATAGTCATGCTCTCCTTGTAAATATTAATACAATATTTTCTGATACTGGAAAGGACAGTAAAAGGCATTCACTCAGGCTTATACAATTTCTCTGAGATGTCCACTCTAAACTTGATTAATACTTCACACACGTAGAACAGTAAAAATATGTAATAAAGTGACACAAACAGCAAAACCGAACCACAAACAAACAAGTGACAACAATGAGAATACGAGGGGAAGTAAAACATCAACTGGTTGGTTTGGGGTATTTTAAATGATTGTTTAGGACCCACGCTGTGCAAATGCAACAGAGCCCTGTAGAAACAGGCAAAGTTCTCCTGGTTTCACACTGTGAGTCACCAACTCAAAAACGTGAACACATAGCTTGGAGTTTTCAGACAGATCCCTGCTTCAAAGAGCTTGCAAATAAAGTCTTTATCTCACAAAACACCTAGCAGCACCCCCACCAAACCTAGTGCTGCTTGCTACCGAAGAGTCAATGGGAGTACTACTTAGGCTTAGAGGGAACTATCTGCAGACCACCCGCGGACCACAGTTTGAGAACCTCTGAGCTAGAGCCGAAGACCGCAAGGGACTGGCTTCATACTCCTTTAGACCAGCCCACAAGAGCATAGCTTGGAAATCCTGCTTTCTTTCTGCAACAAACCTCTAACGCTTGCACGCCAGGCTAGTCTCGTCCTCTGTTTCCTGACAGCCCTAGCAAGAATCCTCTTTTTCTTAGGATGGGTGTCTGTTTACTGGGAACTCACCAAGCAAAACCTAGTGCTTGGAGCCCCCACACAGCTTGTCTGTAAACACCTAGGATGGACTGGGGTGCTTGCCCACGCTCAGTGACACCACACAGTGGCTGTGGTGTTATTAAATGATGTGCATGTCCCCTGAGCACTATGTTAGGGCAAGAATGATGTCGACATAAATCAGTGACCAAATACTGACAGCCTGGCAACAGACATTAGAAAAGCAGGACATTTGAGGTTCTGATAAAACTATATTTTTAAGCTGGAAAAAGTTTTGGAACACAAAGAAAAGGTCCCTCAAATATCCTCAACTCTATGCCTGTGTGTGTACCACCTAAACGATCACAGACGATCTTCCAGTTCAAGGGCTCAGGGGACCACACAGTAGTTAACATGCTACAATTTTCTAGCGTGGAGAAAGCCTAACACTTCATATCACAGCAGAGACCCATGGAGTTCCCTTCCTAGTGTAATTCCCTTGCACCAACCACTGGGAGTTTCACAGCCAGTTTAACCTTTTATTAAGCAGGGACCAGACTTCCGGCAACTCTGGACATCTTAAATCTAAATACTTGTGGGATTCAAGTATCAGAGGGGTAGCTGTGTTAGTCTGAATCTGTAAAAAGCAACAGAGGGTCCTGTGGCACATTTAAGACTAACAGAAGTATTGGGAGCATAAGCTTTCATGGGTAAGAACCTCATTTCTTCAAGTATCAGAGGGGTAGCCGTGTTAATCTGAATCTGTAAAAAGCAACAGAGGGTCCTGTGGCACCTTTGAGACTAACAGAAGTATTGGGAGCATAAGCTCTCGTGGGTAAGAACCTCACTTCTTCAGATGC